GCATATTTTTTATTAGGTTTCCAGGTTTCATTTTATTTGGTCCATTTGTTCATTCATAAGAAGCATTATTAATATAGGGGTGTCACATGTATAATCAGGGGAATTTTAAATTATATATGCAACATACAGTAATATATATATTAGCAGGAATCAGGTTCTTTTTTTTGTGTTCGTTATGTAAGTCCAAGTATGCTATATTATATAATTATCAAGGTTCAGGGTTAGAGTTTTTTAGGGGGTGCAGCGTCTCATGGCTTTATTATTGATAATTGTTTCTTTTTAACGTATACACCACTATATATACTGCCGCGTACATATATATTTTACTGCATAAGTACGCTTATACCACAACACTGTGTATAGAAGCTTGAATGATAAGAACTATAAGTGCCTTTGTAGTGTTATTAAATGCATGTGTGCCCAATTCCGTGTTATAGCAATAATGTAAAGATATTTGGTTTTGCATATAAAGGATACCAACAAAAGAAAGTTTCAAACCAACTATGAATTTTTTTATGGCATGTTTTGTAATTTTTTAATAGGAAAAATGTATTATTACAAGATATAATTATCAATGCCTCATACGCCATTCCCAAAAAACGGTACAATAATGAATATCATGTGATGCATTCAAAGGGGACGCATATAGATATTTATGGCTTATATGTATATCATACTGTAAAATGGCACCTTATACTGCATGACACATGCGACAGGTTTCTGGTGTTCACAATAATAGAAACTCCTGATAATTATACCACTGTTACAGCATTATGTATATATATATACAGGTGCATGAGCGCGAATCACATAAAGTGACCATAAAATTAATGAAAAATAAGTACACCTATATAGATATGCGCTTTATATGGAATACCTGATGTACCGAATGTATTACCCCATGGAAAAACGACAAAAATAAATTCAACAGAAAATATAACATATGGGCTAATATGCTTCCATGTTCTTTCACCTCCTAATCCATATTTGGTCCACCTCCCGTGGCAGGAAACATTACCCTTAGGTTCTAATTCTCTTTCCATATAATACATATTATTATGTGTGCCATTGTAAAACGATATTTAAGGCACCAGCATTCCATTTCCTGTGCACGAGAAGGGAAATGTACAGCTCGCAGTGATTATGTACAGTGGCCACGTTCATATTATTCCTTGTGGACATGGTTTATGCAAGCGTGTAAAATGCCCGAAGTACGATTCATATGGCTCTGTTGGCCCTTTTGCTTTGTGCCTCTACTTTCACGTATACATATGGGTACACATACGTTTGTCTTTCATAAATGGAATGAACACAGTATATGAGGTTCCAAAATTTTCTTTTTGGTTTATGACTAAACTTGTACTTATGATAAAAGGTGGTACAGCTGTATTAACCAAAAAAGGGGGGGCATTATAGCTTCACATTAGGAACAGAAGGAGAAACAGGGCAAATATACACGAATAATAGTACTAAACAAATTTTCTCAAGCCGAAATTTTTAGAGCCCGTAAGGAGTAGCCAATTTCATATTTTTTGTTTTAATGAAATTTATATGCTACCGACCGGCAAAATTTTAACATCATGAGCGGGCACTTGTGTGGTCGTACGCACACCTCAACTGACGCGACATTGTATTCGCACATTGGAGATGCATAATTATAAGAATAAGACCGTCAAAACGTTATGGACAAAATTGAATACAGAAAGAATTGTGCTTTCGGATTAATTAAAAAGGGCGGCATAATAAACAGCCCATATATACGATGCGCGCGGGTACGAAAACATATTGGGCGCGATGGTCCTAAATCGGTAGTGTACATCTCAAGGTATACTTATATATAAGGCCACAGCTCACATATAAAGTTTGCAAACATGTTTATGCTCCTGTACGTATGTTTATTCCTTTTACTTTTTTCCCCTTTAGTTCAATTTTATGCACACATACATTAGTGTATTTTTGTTTCGGGACCTGTCTTAAGTTACGTTGTTCTGAGCTGCGCATAATTCTGTTCTTATTCATTCTGCCATATATTATATTGCTTTCCTCTGAAGCATTTACAGTATTTTTTACGTCCGTACACCATCGGCAATTTTTATTTTTTGTTTTCAGCAAATAAATAAATTATTTTTTATTCATACGAAGATATGCTCATGTATATATTTACCTACATTCTGGACGTAAGTTCCTACAAATTCATTTTGTTTTCTTCCTGGCAAGGTTATAAAATAATATAGTACCACTATCTATTTGTACCAACAAGCGCACAGCGTAATCACTCAAACCGTAAACGTGAACGAAAAACCTGGCACCCCTAAACCCTAAGCACTAAACCCCTACACCATGAATATTGAAACAAGGAACCTCGAACCATAAAGCATATAACTCCGGAATCCTCCATCTCCCAAATCTACAAAACTCTGAACCCTAAAAACTAAACCCCACAATCCTGAAAACCGAACCCCATGATCTTCAAACATAAGCACTGGACTCGGGGGAACATGCAACAGAAAAAAAACACTACGTTCCATAACAAAACCTGTTAGCGGCTGTGACGCACAATATAAACGCAATAATGACCCATGTGGCAAACACAAAGACACCTGTATAATTGCGATGTGGGATACCACGAGGAAAAGAACATCGTGCATTAACTGTGAGAACATCGAACGCGATAACTTGATGATGACACCAAGGAATTTGTTATATTTTTTACGAAAACAAATTATGTCTTAAAAAAGTTTTTAAAATTTAAAGAAAAAAATAAATACACTTTGAGGTGTAAAATCACAAACTTGTATAACGCGGGGCACTAGGACCCCGTGCACTGAAATAAAATTACAACATTGGTAATTCAAGCAATGGCACTGAATATGAACAAAAAACAGAAGAGGGAAGCATCGCACGAATTAATACATGGAAGCAGATTCCTCGCCTGCATATGCCCCCTCTTTGCGAACAATTGGGTATATTTTAAAATAGACAAAAATTTGCAGTGGACTATCTGACTGTCTTATAGTGAATTAGCTACTGTCGGTTAAAGTTGTTTTTGGTCACATTTTTTTACGCTGCCTTTCACACTTCCCTTTTCATGTACATGTTCCCATATGTTGATACTTCTAAGTCATGTATATATGGTTCTACCTATATATTCCTTCCTTGTTCAAAATGCACAATTGGGTCAGGTGTGTCAAATTTTCCCCCACGAATACACTTCATTACCACCGTTCTTTCTACAACATGTCCGCCTTCTTGCCCCTTTATGATTTTTTACAAAATAACCGTGCCTTAATATCTTATGGGTATTCACATCACCCTGCGTCAGAGCTATTCCTGGAACAGCTATGTCCTCACTACACCATTTGCTATTGTAGCAACGGTGACACTCTTCAAATCATAGTACTGTGTGGTCACGCGTGCACCTCATAGAATGGTACTGTAAATACATGCGTATAGTGTGCACAACTGTGATATTCCTAGGGAAGGGACGCCTAATCGAGGAACCGGCAACCTCAAACCGTAAAACCTAGAGCTAAATAAAGAACCCTATAATAATATACCCTGCATCCTCAGCAATGAATCCTGAACTCGCGTACTTCGAGAACTTGAACTCTGAGATAGGTCGCGCTTCAAGAATGGCCATACATTCGTTCTTTGTCTTATGGGTGACATCTTTCCATGATGCTCTATTGCCATTTGAGATCTTTTTGAATTCATCTCTGCTCAATTTTTCCTTCTCGAGGATGGTATGAAACACATCATTAATATGTTCGCATGGCTTCTTAAAGTTATTACAACACATCCGTACACATTTATTCGATTCCTTGTTATATATTTGGAATGTTGCAATATTTTTTTTTTTTTTTTTTGTTAAATCTCCAAATAATAATTGTTCCATCTCATGTGCATAGTGTGTATGTTCTTCTGTATCATGCCCTAATGATCTGTCGCTATCCTTTGATATTTCCTTTGCATATTTGTTTACGATTCTTTGCATTCTATATAATATATTACTACATTGAAATTCTTGTTTGTCTTTTTTTGAATACTATAATTAATATTCCCTTGAACTTTAATCATTAGTGAAGCTATATGTTGCAAATATTTATAATTAAAGGAAGTTCGAAATTTAAGGAATTCCTATATTAATTTGACTTTATGTATTTATTTTATAAGACAATAGTTTCTTGTTTTTTCTCTAAGTCACATTTTTATTTCATTAACAACTTGATTCCATTCTTTCTTGGTTATGCGTTTTCCAAAGAGTGTTGTACACATTGAATCAGTCATAATAAGTTTATCATTTTTCCAACGAGTCCAATTTTCCCACTGTTGTCCTAAGTATTCGTTTTCTTTCATGAGAAGGCACGCCAAGAGTTTTTTCCCTTGTTTAATTATATTAGGATTGGCTCTATACCATTCTCGAGATCTTGCCAGTTTTAACAATGTTAATGTCCCCAGATGTTCAAACGACTCAGAATCAGAACCGTGTTCGTTGCTTTCCCAGTGATACATTAACCATTCTTTAATTTTTTTGTTTTTAAATTGTGTCATATCTTGCTTAAGATTTTTCAATAAATTGAAATGAACATCGTCGAACCATTCTTTCATCTGTGAATCAATTTGGGATAGGATATTTGTATTAAACCACTTTTTCCACTTACTGTTGCTACATTCTAGTTTTTCCAAAGCTGAAGCGCCCTCTCTTTCAACTGGGAGTTTACTATATTCTGACCACTTATTTTCAATTGATTGAATCCAGTTAGATCATTCCTTATATTTTTGTTGCACCATGATTTCCCTTGTCTTATCTAATGTCATTCCTAATAGTGCCCAATCATCTTCTAAGTTTTGCATGAATCTGTTCGAACCTGTAAAATCTGGATTGTCCATTGTATAATTTTTGAGTTCCGGAGGATACAATGCAGTTCCTTCGCCTACGTGTGGCGCTTCTGTTTGTCCCTGGGAAGCTTCTTGTTGAGCCTCAGGAACTTCGTCCTGTCCATCATGGTCTACTTCGAGCTCTTCGTCTGCGTTCACTGTTTCTTTAGCATCTTCATAGTTTTCTTCGGGATTTTTCCCTTGTGGCCATTTCATCTGTTCTAATTCAAGTGCCTGTTCTGATGGAGTTGCTTCTTCTATTGTCACGGCTAAATTTGTACAAACATTTTTATTTCGTTGTAATGTAGAAGCAGTACCATGTTGTCTCTGGAGGTCATCCTGGTGCTGCGAACGAAAGGCACGAGATAAAGGTTGCGTGTGTGTGTGTACATGAGTTCATAACAGAATGGCAATATACGAAATAGCAAGAAGGAACGTAGCAACGGGAAGCAATAAATATACACACAGTAATATATATACGATACATGTGACATATATATAGCCAAATCTACAACTTTCTAGTCTCCACATACGTCTGTACATCCGCACATTTGTCTCTTTTTTTGGTGGACTCACCTTTAAAAAGATATACGCACAAACAACAAAAAGGAGAGCAGCTGTTTTGGAGAAGAAGGACATGTGTGCCTTTTTTCCATGCGTTTCACCTTCTTCATTACCTGCGGAATATGCTTTACCATTTCGGCATGGCGACGCTCCTTGTGAGACACCGTTGGGTGTTGATGTTGGTGTTGTTTTGTTTAGGTGTGGCATGTTCCTTATGGTTTCTTATATGTAACAAATATACATGATCCTACTGTGGCTTCTGTTTTATAAGTATAATACTATTTGTGATATGTGAAAGAGAATATATATATGTACTTCTTACATAAAAATTACTGTTTCTACAAGGGGAAAAGCAATTAAATATGATAAGGCAACAGTATATATATATATATATATATATAAATGTTTATGTAACCATTCCTTTTGAGGTAGTGCTATTCATTTTGCCCTACTACAACACAGTACAGTTCTCAGGAGGGAAGTTGCTTACTTTTAAAAACATTTAAAAAAAAAAGAGAAGGTTCCCTTTTTGTATAAAACATATAAATATATGAATTATAGCGAATTTCTTAAAAACATACTCTTTAAAAACATTACCAAAAAACTAGAATAAGCAGGCTCCAACGTTTGTATAAGCAAACGATTCAATGTGTAATATATGACCTGCCACCTCTTTTTTTTTTTTTTTTTTTTTTGTTATTGTACTTTACCTTAAAATTCTTATTTATAGAAAAAGGGAAATTGGCACTTTTAATGCTAATCTTTAATTAGTTTACATAAGCAGTAATAATAAAAATAAAATTAAAAAGAAGCTGCTAAGAAGAATTAAATAAAGAGAAAAAACAGTTGCATTTTTTATAATAGGAACCGGAATAATACTGCAGCAAGAAAATTTATATATGCCGCGGCTTATTTGAGAACAGGAAAAACAATAGATTTATTCTAGTATATATTAAAAGCGACGGAGCTCACCATGTAATTTTTATATTTTTACTGAACAGATGAAACATATATAATAGTGCATTTATCTGTAATACAAAGAAAGTGTTAAGCCGTTTATAAATATGTACTGTACCATGTTTGTACTTGGTTTTGGATTCAAGGATTATTCGGAGGCTCTAGAGCTGAGGTTTGTTTTTTTTCTGATAAACCGTAATAATTACAAGTTTATATGCCTTGCATATTATTATAATACTAAAGCTATCTGTATAGTTCTTTAATGATAAATACTAGGTACCTTATTCAATCGTTTGGAATGAGAATGCGTTCAATCACATTATTTTATAAGGCACATGCAAACAAAACTTGTTGTGCATATAACTTTATCGCAAAAAAAAAAAAAAGTTTAAACTCTAACTTATGAAAGGTTTGTGTATGGAGTGTTTTTATAATTATTTAAATGGAAAAGATTACATATTATGGTAACATAATTTTCACGTATGTCTCCACCGCCCGCCCCCTCACAAGGAGCAAGGGAAGAACAAAGAAAAAAAAAGCAGAGAAATGCAAACACAATATGTTTAGAATGACGAACCTGTTGAAAGAGAGAGAAAAAAAAAAAAAAAAGAGGGGTAGGAAGTAACTTAACCGTATTAACACATTAAGTCATTAAACGAAGTAAAAGGGATCTGGTGTTATCATGTGCTACTCCTATTCATGTGCCGCCCATGGTCATGTCGCATATTCTGTAATAAATTATGTACATATGACTCCTTGTCCTGCAAAGTATGCTCGCGCTCGCACTCTTCTATAAGGGACGCGACAAGAAGCATCCACAATTTTTGGGGGTAGGGTAACGGAGGGTTCTGCATAGGGGGTTACAGAATTACGGTTTTAGATTTGTAGGTGTCCGGGTTTAGGACACTAGGTTCAGGGTTCAGGTTGGAAAAGTTCCTGGGTTTCGGATACTAGGTTCCGGGTTCAGGATTCTACGTTTTAGCAGGTTTAGACTTTAAGGTTTATGGATCAATGTTCCGGATTTTACGCCATTTAAGGCGTTTAGGACTGAAGTTTCTATAAGTGCGAAGTTTAGTATTCCGGATTCAAGTTTCATGATTTAAGGTTCGCAGGTTAAGAAAGTTAGGGGCCTTAAGATTTTAGGGCTATGTTTTTTTTTTTTTTTTTTAAGTAATACACCACTGACCATTATAAATATGGGGGTATATGAATATTATACTAGTATTATACATATGAAGCCGTTGTGTACCCATGTAACTAATATTGTGTCGTATCAGCCCAGCGCCAGTTGCCTCAAATGTACAATGTATCAGCATTTCGCGACGTACATCTCTAGTGGTTTTTTTTTGCTTTTTTTTTCTTTCTTTTTCGTTGTCGAGTAGTCCAAATAGTGTAACGTTGGTTCGCGTTCCTTTTGGGAACAGTGGATGGAGAAGTGCGGGAATGCCAACGGGGGTGTTTCCATTTTCCACTCGGTTATATTTGTGCGTGCTTGTGCGTTGTGCGCGTTGCGTGTTGTGCTTGTGTGTGTGCTTACTTTCCATAGGAAAAAGGCAATGACCCCAATACCAACAACCGCTGGAATGATCGCGGGGCTATAGGGGACAAGATCCTTGGGCTCGAAGGGTTTCGAGGTAGGGGGGAGGATAGGTTGATCTTGCTGATTGGTGTCTGGACTGGGGCCACTGGAAGGAGGGGAACCACCTGCTCCACCAACTCCAGCACCTGCACCACTGCCACTACCACCTGCCGGTACGTGCCCACCAGAAACTCCATCCGCCAAATCAGCATCACTGAAACTGCCACTACTACCCGATTGATCTGGGTTCGGGTTCGGTTTTGGTTTGGGTGGATTGAGAGGAGGGGGGTCAGCGTTTCCTCCATCAACGACGGCATTGCCACCGGCACCCGGGGGTGTACCGGCTGCAACTTTTTCATCCTTTGCTGCTGTTGCACCTGCTGGAGAGTTAATGTCAACTGAGGGCTCCTCTGTGTCCTTGTGACCATCTGTTGAGGATGATGTCGGAACACCGGGGTCCCGTGTTGGTTGTGCGGCAGCGCGTGCAGGTGATGATGGCTTGTGCGGAACGTCCTGCGTAGTCGCCTTCTTAGAATCATCCTGGGCCCCTACGTTCTTGTCCTCACCTGTAAATACAAGTGACAGGCAAGAACATGGAATAATAAAGGTGATAATGCAACGTAAGTTGTGTGATACGGTTGACCATGGTTCCACGGGTGACCGGCGGGGAACACTGGGGCATGAGACGGACGGGAAGACTCTCTCTGTCTCCCACACACAACACAACACAACACACAACACACACAACACACAGTGTCTGTGTGTGTCACTGTCTATCAACGTCTACGACACCCGCGGCCGACCCATCGCTTGGCCGATAGCGCTGCCGCTTGCAGTCTCATTCGACGTTTGGTTTCGCGCTCTCCGTGGTTTCTCTCTCCGTGTGGTGTCGCCCGCTCTCTCCGGAAAAGTTGTGTGTTTTTTTCTCGTTGTTTTTGTGGTCGACATTCACTCAGGACACTACCGTCGTCTGTTACACTCCCTCAAGTCTGTACCTGCCTTGTTCTCGTCTGCCTCCTCCAGGAGTGTGTTGCCGTCGGGTGGCCTCCCCAGGGCTTCATCCGAGGTAGTCCCACAACTAATGGAGACACGTGTAGGTGTGGGGCTACTATCAGAACATGTTGTGTTACCGGGAGTTGTGGCTTCCGAAGCGTCAGTCTTGGTCGCTGGGGATGTGCCCGGTCCAGCGTCCTGTGATCCTGCGGCTGCCGCAGCCTGCGGGCTCGTATTGTCTTGGGATGTGCCGCGCGCGTCGTCCTTGGTGGTCGCATTGGCTGCAATGAGGTAGAAGGACGGCAGAAATATGGTCGAAAGATGATAAACAAAAAAAGCGACACAAGTGGTACAGAAAGAAGGGGCCGGGACGGTTGGGTCAGGTAACAGCAGGGTGGGGGTCCGGCGCATGCGTCGATGCAGTGGGTCGATGCAGTGGGTCGATGCAGTGGGTCGATGCAGTGGGTCG